CCGCGGCCCGCGCTGCCCTTTCCGCGCCGGGGGCAGCGGGGGTCTCCGGGAGGGGACACCGGGGCCCCCGGGCATCCCGTACGGGCTCCTTTCTGTGCCCCAGCAGCTTCTTGGGGGTCGAGGTCAAGGAAAGTTCGCACCGAAATTCCCTCTAATTTATTCAAAGGTTTGGCGGTGGCGGCGCGTGATTTTCCCCCCTCTTCCGCCTCCACCCCCTGCGTCTCCCAGGGTCGGCTCATTCCTTTCCCTTGACCGGATTCGATGGCCTCACTGCTTGCTAGTTCATGAGTTCGCCTTGGAACAACTGTTCCTTCACTCTGCACCCTGCCTTTGTTAGTGTTGCTCGGGGTTGTTTGTGGATTAATGTGCCGGTGGTGGGTGTGAAAGAGACAGACGTGGGCTTGTTTTTCTAGTGCTGAATGTGTATGAAGGCTTGAAGAGTTTTCCTGGATGATCTTTGGGAAGGGAGGAGGAACAAATCCCTGCCAGATCTCACACCTACAGTAGCTGCGGCTTTTGTTTATTCAGGCACATGTGATTTTTTTTTTTTAATACACCATGCAGGATAACCAGTAAGGCGCTTTCCTTCAGAAAATCCAGGCCAGCCTCAGAACCCGCTCCTGAGAAAGCATCGTTTTTCCGTGAGTGCTGTGACAACTGGCCTTTTCCTTTCTCCTCCGTGTTCTGTCCATTGTGTCTGAAGTTTCAGAGCATGCGATGATAGAGAAGTTGCGTGGTTTGTGTTGTTGTGTCTTCCTGTTGCGACGCGCTCAGCAGCGGTGAAATCACAGGAGGCCCTTACTTCTGAACGCCTCTATCAGGCTCTAATTGACTGTCGTGGGTAACGCGCGCCCACACCTCAGAAACACAATGAGAAAACTGTTCCCTGCCCAGGTTCATTTTTCATCTTGTTGATCATTACCACTTTAAATTGTATTGGAGGCAAGTGAGCTGTATCGGAGCATTATTTAAAAAGAATCCAGGCAGAACCAGTGTTGACCGCCCCAACAATTTCAATTGGTGTAAATATTTTTGCAACAGCGTTACTCTGATGTAGGTGCCAGGCCTAAATATGCTGTACTGATTAAAGTGTCCGCCCCTCCCTCCCTCGTCCCCATTTGCAGTTATTTGATATTTCTGTGCAGGTGGTGTACCATTTGTGGAAATGCAATTCCTGGGAAACTGTAACCAGGGTCCTGAGAGATGATTTTCTGGAGGTGGGTGATGCCGTCTTGGAGGATGCAGGCAGGATCAGGTTTCTTCTGAGGCTAGGGATTTGTTCTTGATTCAGTTCTGACCCCTGCAACCATAGGTGTGTAACCAAGTACATTTTTCCTTTTGCAGTATCCTTTGGCTTTATACTCTTGAAGAGCTGGTGGCCTTTGCGTTTGTAAGCAATTACGAATGTTAACGTCTTACATTTCTTGGAATAGAAGTGATTTTTTTTTTCTGCCAAGTTCATTAAAGCAATAAGAGGAAGTAATTCTCATTTTTCTCAGCTACAGTTATTATTTGAAAACTAAATGTTGGTTTGCAGTTTTGATTTCTGGTGATTCCGGGTTCAAGATAAAATTTTCTAAGTAGATTAGAAAAAGTCAACTTGAGTGTAATTAGACAGGCGTATCTAAGCTGCAGTAGCCTACATAATCAAGGCCAAGTTGTGTGTGTATAAAAGATCTCATTTGTGTAGTCTTACAAGGCTAATGGAGCCATCACCGAGGCCTTATAAATAATGTAAGTTGTGTATAATGTAGAGTCTCCAGGGACAGCAGAGAAAGCATCATTACCAGTCTTTTCAACCTGCTTGAGATCTTAAATTGATTTACAGCACTGAACTGGTGCAAAATGATACATCAGGATGACATGGGGTCAGCCTGTAAAAGTCTATGATGTCAGCCTATTAGTTCAGTCATCATAATTAAACCATATTACAGAGGCAGCTAAGCAGGAGTCTGGCGTTAGACTTCAGATATGGGTGGTACATGGGTTTTGTTATAGTGGAATGACCAAGATGGCCAAGAACACTAGTGTTTCTGAATGAGGGGAATCTTTACAAAACTATGAATTTCTTGGGGGAAAATTGAAGGTAAATGCAGGCGTATCCAGTCTTCCTTGAATAAGTAGCTTTCTACTTGGTGGTTTAGAACCAGATGCTAATAAGGACCTTCCCTGTTGTGATCTGTGTATTGAATCATAGAATTTAATTTGGCCTTAGGGACCTTGTAAAATATTAGAGGACCACCTGCTTTATCTCTGATCCGTTTATTACCATCGAGTTTGTACTGTACTGATGTGTGAGGTGACATGTAACTGGTCATAGGGGCCAGGCCTCCACTGAAAACTAACATATTTGAATTGAACTTATGAGCAAATTGGGAAAAGAAAAACCCTTGTTCTTGCTTACATTTCTATAATTCTTACTCAGTTTATGGCCATCTACAGTGCGCTGTCCAGTAAGGTAGCCATAGCTACATTTATTTGTTTGAAATTAAACTTAAACCATCTTCCCATTTCAAATGCTCAGTAGCCACTTAGGGGTAGTGGCTACCGTAGTGGATTGTGTTTCTAGAAGATTTCCAGCATCACAGAAAGTTCTTCCAGACCAATGATGGTGCACCTACGGCACATGTGCCACAGCAGGCTGTGTGTTATCACTGAAAGCTCTGAAAGATTCGCCACCACTGTAATGGATGGTGTGGCCCCAGGGCCTTTATCTCTCTTCTCACTTGTCCCTTCTATTAATAAATTTGTAAGGCCAAAGAGAGAAAGACTACACATATCAGTTAATTTTACTACTTTCTAGCTGTTTTTGTTAAAACAAGCAATTTGGAAGTGATAGTTGAAGCTACTGGATAATATGAAATCGACTTTTTTGTAATTTATCGTCAGTGTCCATGGATCCTAAATTGGACAGGAGAAATAACTAGCAATTTTTTCTGAATTTTCATTGTGTGCCAAGCGTTGTTTGCAATACTTATATCTCACATTAGCCTCAAAACTTCCCGAAGGACTGTTGTTACCACATATTACTGGAAAAGAAACTGAGGGCAGTGATGCAGTGTCTTGCCTTGGGCCACGTAATACTGAAGTTACTATTTAAATATCACCTGGGCTATGAAAAGGCCCCCGACTCCAGAACCTTATTCTTAGCCACATTTGGGGGGTTTTACTCTAGAGTACCCACATAGGCGTTGTGCCACTGTGCTTCAATGTCTCAGTACAGATAGCACTTTGCTTTTATTTTTTTAAGCCTTGAAAACTCTGCCTGTGTGACTTGGGGTCCTGTTTCTTCTGCCCTCCTCTGTTTAAGGTGGCGGGTGTGGGGAGGTGTAAAGTTAGTACCTAAATGGCACCTGATTGGAAGAATAAATCTGACATAAAAGTACTGCGTTTCAAAGCCCAATTAGTTTTATCTTTGCTTTTCTTTGTAACTCCTGTCATTTCCCTCTTGTGCTTTCTTGTGTAATAACAAACTAGTGGTACTGATGAGGGAGTTCCAGTACCTCAGTTTATCTGTTTTAGCAGAATTACTCTGTTTTCCCTGAGCAGTTAAACATTGTATCACGAGATAAGAATAGTTCTTTGCAAGTTCCTTGGGTATATTTTTTTAACATTTGATGTCTACTCCTGTGATATGTTATAGTGCCCTTGTTCTTATGGGGGGGCCAGGGAGTTAGTGCTGTTCAGGAATCTGTTGAAACCGTGGATTCTGTGTGTTCTCTTTACTTCCAGCCTCCTATCCAAAAATATTTACATATACCGATGAGATGAATTTGTGTGTTTACTTAAATACCCCAGTTGTGTGAGCCTTCAGGTGAAGCACATCTAATGGGACCACCTTGCCATGTGTTTTTATAAACATTTACACTTAAATTTCCTATGCGTAGATGAGAGATTCAGTATTTAATGTTTAAAGTTGCTCTCAAGAGTTCCTCCTGTGGTTGGTTCATATTCAGGTAAGTGGTCTGAAGTCTGGAGAAGAAAACCGGCTTGTATACAGTTGCCCTAGCAGTCTTTCCCCCTCGAGCGTCCACTTGTTTCTTTTTTCCTTCCATACTCACTGTGTTGCTGAGGCTTTAGGTTGAGCTTATCCTGTATCATTTGGAGAGAAAAGGGAAAAAGATGTTTTTGGCATGCTTCTGTTGTTTTGTACCTAATATTGCTTGAGCTAAGTAGAAGTCAAGTCTGACAACTCATAGAGAGATGCTTGTTTTATATAGATTAAAATTGATTCTTTTTATTCTAGAGTTGGAAAAAACAAAAAGGCCCATGTCTAATTTAATCAGTGGGACCTTATTAGAAAACGGGAGATCCAA